TGAATGCTGATATTTGTAATTTCAACCTTATTCTTTAGATAGTGGATAAGAATTCAGCATTTACAAGCAGAACGGTGATATAATCAAAGCTGTCATTTGGGGAGATTAATCTATGTGTCGAAAAAATTTTGAAGGGCAAAGAAATTCAATAGGATGTTAAAATTCTGGGTGTTGAGGAATGAGAGAAGTTGTAGGGGAGGAGGGGGATATTCCAAGATAGGGTACAATTCACAGTTTTTATCAACAGATTGGGTATGGGAGAAAGTGAGATAAAGCAGATACAAGATGGCCCCAAGTTTAAGTACCCATTATGGATTGTTAAAATAAAGAGAGGGGCAGGGTTGTAAAAAAAAAAGAAAGTAAAATAAAGAGAGAGGACAGATCGAGGAAGGGTCTCTATTTTTGATTAATTACATACAATGTGTATATGGGCCATTTGTTTAACTCTGAACATCTGAGAGGAAGAAACAATGCTTAGGAGAAGTAAGGTTAAGGCTAAAGTTATGGATTTGAGAATTATATACAGAGAAGTAGAAATTGAAGTCAGGTGATTGAATGAAACTGCTTGGGGAAAATACATATAAAGATAATTTGAGAAGATGGCAAAAAATAGATTTCTTTCCCTTTCTGAATTGCTTTCCAGGAAGCTCATTGCTAAATTTTAGACCTGATTGCAGAACTGTCTTTTTGTTTAGGTTTTTTGATATGTTTATCTTGTGCTCTATCTTTTAAACTTGGCCCTCTTCCGCACCCCCTCCCCCCAAACACACACAGTAAGGCTTGGGGTTTAAGGAGCTTCTATATTTTTGAAATACTATTTATTTCACAGACTTAAAGATGTACATATTTTTCACATTTTAACATCTTTGAAATTGAGATGAGTGTTACAATCACTGGATAGTGTGTCATATTTTAATTGGCAGAATGTTTTCATTTTTTGTGGCATATAAAATAATGGTTCATGTTATAATCAGTGGTGTCTGAGATTTGATGAAATATGGTACGTCCTGATAGATTTCCCTATTTGACAATCTGGTTATTCCCCCAAAAGGGGAAGAAAAATTTACTTACAGAATAAGTACACTCCTGTATGGGCATTGCGATCAGTCACAAATGGGCTGTGAATACCCTTTCTGGGCTGATAGGAAGGAGAAAGATGAAACTCAAATACTCTGATTCCCAAAATGGAACAAAACGTCCTGGGGGTGGGAGAAGCAAGATGTAGTAGAAACGTAGATAGGCGTGGGGTCCAGTACAAAGCAGGCTTGCTTCTTGCTCCTTGGGGCATAGCTCTAGAAAATTGCAAGTCTCCTGCAGAAACCCTCATGGCATTGGAACAACATGGTTCCAATAGCTGACAAATGGCCAAAGGAGGTTTATAAATGGATGGACCTGAGGTAGTACCTCTGGTTCACCCACAGCCCATGAAGATCCAAAAGTTCCTGCATGTCCTAGAAGAATGCCAGAATAAACGGAGCCCAGAGTGAACACTTGGCTGAGCAGAGGTGTTAAGACACTGGGATGGAAAGGCTCACTTTGCAGGGCTGCAGTACTGGGCACTTAGAACCATCCCAGTGGGGAGACCAGATGCTCCTTCCTACTGCTGGAAGACACATGAACTTCCTCTCACACCCAGACACCATCTGGAGAAAGAAGTAGAAAGACCTCCTGAATGGGGAGGGAACTCCAACAGGGGTTGACTTTGAAGGAATTGAATATGCTTTTGAAAGAAAGTGTTTTTTAAGCTGGAAGAGACTGAGTTAATTGGCAGGATTTTTTTTTTCCCTTCATAAGTGAGAATGCAAGATTTGAGTACGATATGAACTTGTAATAGAAAATAGAACACATCTTTTCTGTTGTTCATTTTTTTAAAAACAGATTTTATTGGGGAATTGGGGAACAGCGTTGGGGAATTGGGGAAGGAAACACTGTGTTTTTCTGGGACCCATTAGCTCCAACTGAAGTTGTTTCCTTCAATCTTAGTTGTGGAGGGTGCAAGCTCAGCTCCAAGTCCAGTTGCCACTTTCAATCTAGTTGCGGGGGAGGGGGGGGCGCATAGTCCACCATCCCATGTGGGAGTTGAACCAGCAACCTTGTTAAGAGCACATGCTCTAACCAACTGAGCCATCCGGCCTCCCTCTGTTGTTCATTTTAATCCTACTACAATGAAATCTTTTAGGGTATGGTAAGTTGTTTGAATACTAAAGGCAATCTGGGGTAAAGAAAAAATTTGCTCTAGATATATCACTGGAAAATAGAAATATTTATGGTAGTGCAGGAGGATGAAAAGCCAAAGAAGATATAATCAGAAAATGGGAAAACCAGAAGTAGCTCTTAGAAGAAGAGAAAAGAGGAGGTAAGGAATGTTCAGTGAGATGCTACACAGAATGGTAAGCTCACCTGAACTCTGGGAAGAAGCCATTGGATTTGGTGACGAGGAGCCATTAGGAATCTTTGAAGACTGATAATCCAAGTGTGGTGCTATTTTAATAGCCATAATTTTTCATGGGATGCTAATGCACAAATATATGTAGTCTAATTCCATTGTCTTACAGGTAAGAAAATTTGAAACCAACAAAATTTCACAGGAGTCAATTCAAATTATAAATATGAGAAAAAGAAAAACAAGTACTTTACATTTGGGAGTCAACTAGAATCAGCCTGTTTTGTGTCATTTCTGGGGGAAATGTGTTGGGGGCATGAATAAGACTTTTTTACTTATTAAATTTATTGGGAGTGACACTGGTTAGTAAAGTATATAGGTTTCAAGCATACATTTCTATACTACATCATTTATATATTGCATTGTGTGTTAACCACCCAGTAAGTTCTTCCATCACCATATTTTTTACCCCCTTTTCCCTGTTCTACTACTCCCACCCCCTTACCCTCTGGTAACCACTAAACTGCTGTCAGTGTCTATGAGTTTTTGTTTCTTTGTTTGTCACTTTCAGATTTATATCCCACACGAATGAAGTCATATGGTTCTCGACTTTTTCTGTCTGACTTATTTCGCTTAGTATGATAATCTCAAGATCCATCCATGTTATCGCAAATGGCAGCATTTCATCTTTTCTTATGGCTGAGTAATATTCCATTGTGTATATATACCACATCTTATTTATCCAATCATCTATTGAAGGACACTTTGGTTGTTTCCATGTCTTGGCCACCGTAAATAATGCTGCAGTGAACATAGGGGTACACATATCTTTACAGATAAATGTTTTCAGATTTTTTGGGGTAGATACCTAGAAGAGAGATTGTTGGGTCATATGGCAATTCTATTTTTCATTTTTTGAGAAACCTCCGTACTGTTTTCCATAACGGCTATACCAATTTACATTCCCAATAGCAGTGTCTGAGGGTTCTTTTTTCTCCACAGCTTCTCCAACACTTAATGAATAAGCCTTTTTTGAAAGTAGTGAAGTAATATTCTTTATCTTTTATGAAAAAGCAATAAGTTTACTGAAAAGCATCCTTGGGAGCAAATACGCTGACAGGTGTTACGTGTTTTAAATTTTTATTAGAGAAGTTGGAAGTTTAATTTCGTTATTGATGGTAACATAATTTTCTCTGCTTTGTTCAGAGGAACACACAGAATCAATTTGTACAAGCATATACAACAATTAAGTTGGTGTTTTGTGTCTGAAAATCAGTAATCTGATTAGTTCTAGACTGCCAGCTTTCCATGCGCTCCTCTCAGCTTTGGTGGCCTGGCTCAATTCCCAGCGGAATACTTTTTCATGCACTGTCTGTAACACCACTACAGCAGGCTTAAAGACCATGCAGATTAACACTGTAGCAAATTGTTTTGATATTTAACAGACATAAAAAGGTTATTTCCTGATATGAAATTCTGAAAATCTGCATAAATATTTTTGTGTAAAATTAAATTAGTTATGTATTTTTTTCTGAAACTAGAAGTTGAAGTATCAAGAATGCCCACGTAATTCATATACACATATATATAGACTTTTTCATTATGCTAAAAGTCTTGATAGTCAAATTATAGTCTGTGCCATACATTTATTTCACCAGTATTGACTTGGCATTAGGTTAACTGTGTCTGTATGGATTAGTCCTAATTGGTGCTTGTGTATCATGCAAACATAGTTCTAGTATTCTTGTTTACTAATCTTGTCATGTGGCAATACTTAGATGATTTTGCTCTATAACAGTGTGAATTAGGAGTATAAATACTTTATACATGGTCACATTTACAAACGTTTGCCAATAACCTCTTCACAATCTTGAAGGTGTAATAGTGAATTATAATATCTGGAATTGGCTGAAGCAATTCCTAGAAAGCAATGTCAGATGTAAACGTCCTTAGATGTGCCTAACAGAGTTCTCCCTTGAGCACTGATGAGTTTTGGCACAGGTACACTGTTCTGTTTTTCTAATAATTTCCACAACTTTTACAGAAAATTAGCTTCTTATGGCATGGTAGAGATATGGCACTTAATGATGAGGTAACTTAGATGTAGAAAAGTTCCGCAAAATTATTTGTCTAGCCGATCATCACTTTTGCTGATGGATTTGTTGACAGAGTTTTTTTTTTTCTAGTGCATGCACTTGCTATTAAATTGCTAATGCACTATTTTTGCTGCAGCTCAAACATGTCCTAATGCATCACGAAGCAGAGTTGTTAACACCAGGCTCATTTACTTGTGATGGTATTTCACAGCAAACATGTTTAAGTTGTGTCATACATGGTTAAACTCTGCCTTACTGGAATGGTAATTTTTGTGGATTCGTAGCTATTTTTGGTTGGCCAAGGAAATTCAATTACTCAAAACGTGAAATAGAAGTATGGAAGTCTGTGGTTTTGGGTAACATCTTGTCTATACATAAAGGAAACACAAAAGACAACGATTTTCTTCCATGGACTTTGTGTTCAGAAGTTTGGGAGAGAGCTATTGATGCTGTGTGTTTTTCCTGCTTCAGTTTGCATTTTGGAGTTTCATACTACTGTTGCTGGTCTGCGGTCCATCTCGGCTTCCAATTTCACCATCTGCTGCATCTCCTTCGCCTGTAACATCAGAAACACGGCCTTACATGTTGAAATCCTCTCCTGAAGGCATGCAGCATCCCTGGCCTCTCTTCTGTGTAAATCTGATGCTGTCACTATGTCCTTGCTGCTCAAAGAGTGGTCCATGGACCAGCAGCATCAGCATCACCTGAGGCCTTGTGAGAAAGGCAGAATCTTGGACTTCACCCCAGACCTACTGAGTCAACCCACGTTTTAATAAGATTTCCAGGAAAATTTTTTTTTATCCACATTCAAGTTGGAAAACGACTGGTCTACACAGTATCAGGAAAACCATTTGAAAAGAGGCTGAGCCAGTCACTTCATATTTAGAGCATGCCACATTAAAAGGTTTGTGTGATTGACACGTTGCCTTGACCGTGTGTCGATTATTTGATCACTTTTAGAGTAAGTGTTGCTTATGTGCAATTTATTCACCAAATAGCCTGAAATTCAATCAAAAGTAATTCCTTCGGAATCTACCTGATGGAGACCTTTAGGTAGGAGGATATCACATTGGTTTGGCTGGAGTACCCTGCAAACAGTACGTTCCAAGAATATGTGGGGTTCCTGGAATTCTATTATCCAAAAACTATCCTTAGGGCGCTCATTAATTTTTACCGGCTACCCCAGGAAGTAAGCCATGGTGAGCTCAATCTCATGAATTAAGACTATCTCTAAGACAACCAGCTAGTTTGGGAGGTGGAAAGGAGTCAGATGGGGTGCAGGTTCTGGTGTCAACTAATTGCTTTGCAAATAGGGAAAACTAATTGGTTCATTTCAGCTTTTGCTTTTGAACTGGATGCTTTTGCCCAACCCAATGCATGTGTTTTGGAGGAAAAACAAAGTATCCCTCTCTTCTTTTTAGTGACACATCACTTTGAAATAAAGGACTTTTAAGAATGGAAACATGGACATATAAGGATATAACTCAGAGGAGGACACTGAAGTGCTTGATGTTATTATTCATGTCTACTTAGATATTCCAATGAAATAGAAGGTCAGTAGGAGGGTTTGGTCAATGTTATAGATCATACTATGAGCATCTAAATATCCCAAACAAAGTCCTGCTACAAAATTAGTTTAATCCATGGACCATACAGTTATTTTCTTCTTATTATTATTTTTATATGGTGGCTTTAAATTTCATTTTGGTCAGGATGGATATAATAACACCAAAGAATCATTTCTTTCTGCTTACATTTGGGATGGATGATTCCTTCCCAGATATTTTTTTATGCCTGAAGTATAATGCTCTGATAGAGAAATGAAGAAATGGAGAAAATATACAAACATGAAACTATGACACAAAGAGTATTCATAAAGATGACAGTGAAACATTATCAGCACTGGAAATTAAATATTTTTTATGTTCAGTAAATAGTCATGAAGGAGTTCCTATGCTTTTCCCCTTGTAGCATTTAAAGACAGTATTGAACACAGTTTAGAAGGAAGCATCTATGACACTAAAAATGATTCCAAGAGCAAAGTTCTCCTATGAGCAGGGTGACCATTTCTTTTGCCAGGGATAGTTCTAGTTCATGTTATTATGAACAGCACCCACTTTCACGCTTAAAATTGTCCTGGTTGAGACAATAAATTATACAGTCACCTTACTTATTAGGGATGATTAAGGTGCTTGGCAGACCAGATCAAGTAGAGAGCATGACAAGAGCCATTGTATAATGACATTGTATAATGTTCCTGCACATTTTAATGACTGTCTGCCATTAAAAACCATCAATGAACTTTTAGTGGGTGCTTTAAAAGTTAATTGAAGTCATATTAGTGTTTGTGAAAGATCTGACTCTGTGACCCAGTCTTAGCTGTGATTGGTCCAAATGACAACGGTATATATCACTATTTTTGATGCCTGGGTATGCCTTCATCAGCGTGACTTGTGTTTCCCAGGTCTGCAATTGGAAATGCTAGTAACACTCCATCAGCAATACTTCTCTAAAGATGCTGGGCATTTCAGTTTGAACATTACATCAGAAATCCAAGCATGAAATAACCAAGCTTTTAAATCCAAACCCTTGGATATTAGTTATGACCAGATCTAAATTATAAATGGAGACTACCCCGAGAAAAGTGACGTAGTTGAGAAGGAAAGCAATGTCTTGCTTATCAGAGTTTCAGTCCTACCTTGAGTTTGGGACACTGCATGACAGGATTTCAAAAGCTGTTTGTAACAAAAATAGTAATGTCAAAATTGAGTCATACATACAAACAAAGAAAATAAATGAATACTGAAGTGAATTTGAGAAATGAATGCAAAAACCATATACAGAAAAGTAAAAAGCTAAGAATAAAACATGTATACAACCATCAGTGACAAAATTCCCCCAAGTTGATCTCAACATAAAAAAAGAACAAAAGAAACAACCGATGCCTATTAGCCCAGATGGTGCCTCTCTTCTGAGCCAGTGAATGGAGAGCCTTCCCTTTAGCAAGATCCTTCAACTCTCTTTATTAAATGATAGAGTTGATGACAAAAATCAATTCTGACAACTTCGGTGCAACAGTAATGGAGCTGTTAATGTTTGAAATGGTACATGTCAAGATGGGTGAGATGTTGTGTGGCTGGGAAGTCTAGGGGAATAATTAAACCGAACTATGGAGTTTTAAATGAATTACTGGCTGACCAAGAAGTGGCTTAAAAAGGACACATGAGTTAGGATCCAGAATCAGGACCAAAATATATTAAAACTTGAGTTGCTTCTGCCAGTGCCCTTATCACTGGGCTAGCTTATTCAGTACACCCATTCCATACTTTGCTTTGGGGTTCTGGGAGAACTTAGAGAGGCAAGGTCACAGGAAAGCAGTAAGAAACCTTACAGGGAGTTATTATGGGAGAGCATTAAAATTAATTTACCATTGGCTTAGAAACAGAAAGGTCTTGGGGTATAACAGTGGTCTGGCAGATTATCATAAAGGTTTGGGGTTGTCTGCAGACAGGAAACTGTTTTCTGCCAATGAAATGTTTGATTATGAAGGGCGTTCTCTCCTACATGGTTCCAGACCTAGTTTATTACGGGGGAAGAAATGGAGTCACTGTATCTTTTGTACTGTGCCTACGACAGTGTTTTAACATACTGAGTAACCATGAATTGAGAGCAAAAAAATATACTAAAAATACCTGGGATTGAATTTGTTAGGGAATAGGCCATATGTATAAAGCAAAGCTTAACACAGAAATTCAAGTCCAAATTCCACATCTGCCAGAAGCATCACTGTATCTTGAATTTCTTTTCATTGAGTTTAATTAAATCTTAATCGAACCTCAAACTTTCTCATGTTCTATGTTCTCCTAAGCTTTTGTGACTCAACGTATCAGTTGTGGGTGGTAGACATTACTTATGACATATTGGAAGGCATTATATGTATTTTTGGAACAAAAAGCCGTTATCTTCCCAACACGATCCAATCAATACAACTACCATTGATCCAATATTTAATGTAAGAACTCTGGTGTGGTTTGAATTCTCCATGTATTAAGATAAAAGCTCAAAGTGATTTTTTTATTATGTACTTTGGCTCTGAAACCAAAAACGCTAGGTAACTGTATTCTCTAGCTCTGAAAAACACCACTATTGTAGTGATGAGTAATTTTTAGCACATTTACATTCTTTAGTCAAACTTGTTGCTAGGCAACATAATAATTTCTAAGTTTCTTAATTTAGTTAACCGAAACATAACTGTGCCTTACCTTCATTGGGCCTTCTTCTAAGGCACTTTTCCTTATCCCCACCCAGCCCTGAATCATGAAGTGGATTCTAATGTTTTGGAGATGGTGGCTTTACCTTTATTCATAGTCCTATGTTTTCCCCAGGGAACAATTTCTGAGAAGTGCTTTAAGAGCAAAAACACAAGCTAGGTAATTTGTACCAGAACGCGATATATCTATGAGTTGGACCCATGGGACAATAAACATTTATGGTCCCTGTTGGGGATTTGCGGACTGTTCATGAATAGAAGCATTTAGCTGAAAAGGGAATGTGAAACATAATTCAGAAGCATGTTCATGAGTACCCCTTCTGTCCACCAAAAAGTAAAGAATCTGAAACCAGAGGATGGATTTATTTGTTACTCAATTGCAATACCAAAAAAAAAAAAAAATCTATGGGTTTTGTTTTACTTTCTCAAAAGTACTTTTTAGCCTAACTTCTACTTAAGTGTTCTTCAATAGCAGCCCTTTACTCTGAAAAAATACACCTTAAATAGGATTACTTTAAAGGTGGGAAGAAACAGGCAAGAATGATATAGTGCTAGTATTACACATTTCACCAAAACATCTTTACAGTTCCTAGATGGAATTATCTAGAAGTAATAACTCCCTAACCAGCTATTCCTGACACCTGAAGAGTGAAATTTGAACTGAGATATTCTGAAATGTAAACTGCTACTGAGGGTCGTTTTGCATGTATGCTAGAGGTATTTCCATCAAATCAAAATGAGACGGTGATGGCTGATGGGCAGGCGCCCATTTGGGATGGAGCACATCTGTACTATGCTTGAAGTAAACATACATTTATCTTGGTGTTGGTATCTGCCCAATGGCCTAACTAAACTGTTGGATTTTGGATAACTCTTTTTATTTGTGTGTACTTCTCCTTTTAGTGTTTTGCCTTGCGGGAAAAAAGCCCCAAGAGTATGGTATCCCCTCATGTTAAGTGGTTTGCAGTTATGGTGCCTCATGCCTTTTGGTCCTACTTGTAAGCCCTAAGAAGTTTTTGATAACTTCATTTTTAGGTTGAGGTTGAAAAAAGGTGGTTTTCTCATTTGCTTTGAAACATAATATCACTTGCCTCTAGGTTGCAAATTGTAAAATTCTGAATGAAAACAGAAACAATTTGTAACCTTTGTTTTTTTCCTCCTCTCTGTAACGTCATTCTTAGAATCCTCATAATCTATTCCAATGATGACTTTTGATTCGTTTTTTTCTCCACAGCAACATCTCTCTCCCACTTCAAAAAAGACTAATTTCTGCTCTTGTTGGATGAGACAAGGAAAATACAGTAATAGGCACCAAATTTTCTAGCTACTTTTCCATGCCACTACTCAGGTCGCTGGCTGTAGCAGATGGGTCATTGCAGGCCACACAATATTTGCCTTCCAAAGCTGCCTGGCTGCTTGTGTCGGTTTATACGTTTTAGGTGAAATACCTGCTCATTCTGTTTCTCTAGGAATTCTAGGTGTTCAAGTTGGACTTTTTTCAACTGATCCATTTCTTTGGACTGTTTCATTGCGAGCTGCAAAGAAAAAAATTCTGATAAACTTTGGGTAGTAATCTTAGAACTTATGGTTGAGGAATGACTGGTAATTTTACAATTTAAGTGAGGGAGATAATAATAAAAACAAAAAAAGTCTTAAAACTGGGGACGTTCAGAACCATAATTCTCACTGGGAAGATCTTTCCTGCTAAAATCTTAGAAAAGAATAGAGCACTTATGAATTTTCTATATAAAGTTGTACCAAATAATTATCTTAAAGATTTTAGGGGGCAATTACTTTAGCTTTCAGGGAGCAGAGAAGCTAGAATGTTTAATATACAGAAAAATCAAACTAAGCAAATTAGCTAGAAGTCTGATATCTAAGCATGAGTTACTTTTTTGTAGTTTTTAAAGGAAGAGTGCCAAGAAAATTATAATACTTACTCTCTTTCTTTCTTCCAGAAACTTTTTAGTGTTGCTGCTGTTTAACTCTCTGACTCGCCTAAAAGTAATAGGTACAAATAATAGTTGGTATGACACCAAATGGAATTAACATAATATTAAACAAGAGTTATGTTCCATTTAATTACCTGGATACAACTGTCACTTTCTTTTACTAATTTTTTTTTTTTTTTCTGGACGGCCGCTCACTGCGGCTGCTGGC